CACTTCTATCCTTGAATAACCTTTTGACAAATCTCAACGAACTCCACAATTGATCATAACACATTTTTACCGCTAATTACCACGTGACGCAAAGGGACGTAAATTGCACTAATCTTCAGAAAGGTGTTGATTGGAGCATTTTGGTATTGAAAATTACAGATGCAAAAATTTAAAAATGTAGCATTTTGATTTGAGAATTCGTCATTTATTTGTGACTGATCTACGCCCTCGCAGTTTAAGTTTTAAATTTCATATTCTCAATAAATGCAGCTTTTGGATGGTCATAGTCGCAATAATCCGAACATCTTGACATTGCTACTTCCCTATATACCTCTAATGCGTCAAATGATGCAAAAATTAATTTATGTTTTTTATGGTTAATAAGACCAGAGACGTATTGCTGTGTTTCCTTTAACTATTTTAATGACATAGTTACAATTTTTGAAACTTTAACGTTTACTTTTTTGAGCATCAGTTTGGGACCGTTGAAACTGTTTTAAATTTTAGCCAGTTTTGTTACTATTTATTAGATTTATATTTCATTCTAGATGCAAATATTACAGTACTTTTTAATTTATTCTGCGTACTTTCAGAGAATATTATAGAGATTATTATTACCGATAGATCCATTATCCTACTGTGTGTGATTGTTTGTCATTTTTGATGAAAATCGCATAAAGATATAATGATGAAAATAATTTTTGTATGTTAATAACAATGAATGATGGCGATGATGGTAAAATGATTGATGCAATAATAATTAGTTATTATGATTATTATTATTATTGTTATTATTATTATTATTATTATTATTATTATTATTATTATTATTATTATTATTAATATTATTATTATTATTATTATTATTATTATTATTAATATTATTATTATTATTATTATTATTATTATTATTATTATTATTATTATTATTATTATTATTATTATTATTATTATTATGATGATGATGATGATGATGATGATGATGATGATGATGATGATGATGATGATGATGATGATGATGATTATTATTATTATTATTATTATTATTATTATTATTATTATTATTATTATTATTATTATTTCTTACATAGCATCTTGATTGGTTATTTTGACTGCTTTTCCTTTACATGAGATTGGACAACTTTTCATCCATTCATGTTGTTTTGCTCTTGATCTTTTGTTTCTTATTAGCATTGATATCATCTAGCAGCAGAAGAAACAACAGTAACAGAAAACTGAGAGCATGATAAAAATTAGTTGTATGGTTAATATTGTTATACCTATTGTATGGTTAATATTGATATAGTTAAAGTAAAATACTAATAATAGTAAACCAATCTATAGATTAGGATAATTTGCAGCATTTAGGATTTTGTCCCATCTACATTATTGTCATAGAGTGTCATGACTGAACAGAAGCAGTTCTCTATGTATTGATTTGATAATTGTCATTACAGATTGAAATATATCATAAGTCAGACCCCGTAATGCTTTGATCTCTCCCTTATATTCTTTATTGTCGTCATCTAACAGATTCCGTGATGCTTTGATCTGTCTGTCCGTATTATTCTTTATTGTGGTCTCTGCTTTTGAAGTCACAAACAAAAAAAATTGTTTTTAAGAAGTTCTGAGTATGACGAATATTTATCTTAAAAGTCAACATTATATTTTTTACGATTTCTTAAATACAAAATCTACAAATATAAAAGCAACTGAAAATTTATTTTGTTCACGGTAGATGATAGTCATTGAAGTTTGTTCAGAATGAAATCTGATCATGATTACAACAGTATTTATATCAGAGAAATGTATGCAACAGTATTACATCATACCGATAGGAATTTGATTGGTCAATTATCAGAAAATAAGATTCACTATTTCTGTTAAAAATTATCCTAGACTGGTGATAGAACTTTCATAAGGTTAAAAGTAGATCATTTTACCTAGAAAATGACTGAGAACACGCTTGCAATAAAAAAAAAACTGAACAAAGCAAAATGGCAGACAAAAGTAGTTTCAAAAGTTAAAATGCAAATATCTTATTTATGATACCCCATATATATATATATATATATATATATATATATATATATATATATATATATATATATATATCCTCGTGTTGGTTATTAATCATTATTAATCGATAGAAAATAACACACACACACATCTCGATTCGATAGTCTTTTACAATGGCTTTGTTTTTTTGTTGTTTTTCTTTCACAGCGACAGGTAGGTAAATGCTACTGTTATAGTCTCAATATACATCCCCGTTTGTTTGTAGTCCCCTATCGATTTCAACAGTGAAAAATCTTTAATGCGATAAAAGGTGCAAAGAGCTTAGTCAGTTCATTCATTGATTAACAATTACTGACCTGACTAAGATCAGAGTAGCACTAACACTGGCACCCTTTGCGCCTTAAATGTTTAACCGACTGTTCATACAAATATGGCGCCATATTGCATACACTATATGAGAGTATCTTATCCTGAGACAACGCTTTAACGTTGTTCATCCCATTCGGTAACTGTCAGATAATTCAATAAATTATTAAATTAAAAAAAATTAAAAATTAAATTAAATTCAATAAATAATTATGATAGTGAAGAGTTATGTCTGTTTTGCACACATGGACAGAAGTTACACAGTTGTTAAATCCACGTGTAAGGCAAATTGTAATTCTCATTTTTTACCTTTGCTGATTCAACGTTATAAATATCCGATGCAAACGACGTATTATTTTGCTTTTATGAACATACAAGTGTAGTTGTGAATACACCGCTTCTCTGAATATGGACTTGTCCAGGAACTGGAAAATGATCGGCTAGCATGGGTCGTTTTTTACACTTAAAATTTGTTTTGAGTGAAAACGCGCAGACTATAACGGTGTTAGGGACGCATAATCAGGTTTGAAATTATAAATCAATAAATAAACTAAGTTATGTGCATCTTTTATCTCGTTTTTGCCTTTCGTGTTTTAAATCGGTAAGGGGTACAAGCAAACTGGGTTTGGGGAGGGTTTGTTTGTGTGGGTCGTGGTGGGAGTGTTATATTCAGACTATAACGCCCTTTAATTAATTATTTTATAGCCCAAACTGGCATCTAATAGATTCACAACACGCAATAACAATGAAGAATTATATCTTATAATGCGTCATAATATGTAAAACATATAGATAATATTATTCCATTATGTAATAAGAAGAAAAATGTATAAAGTGTAGCCGTTACATAATGCGCCAAAACTAGGTCTATGGGTTCTTTGCATCATGATGCTTATTAAGCCCGAATAAATGTTTTGCCATTTCTGAAAATGTATGACAGATTATGGCCATTCTTTTATCTTAAAAATCAATGATATAGTTTAATGTTATAAACATAGACATAATATTTAGTTATCAGAGGCTCCATTAGATTTCTTACCTTCACATCAGGCAATTTGTATGCATTTATGTCGTCAATTATTGAATCTAATCAGACAAACATTAAGTTATGTATAAATCACACCAAAATGCAAACAACACAGTCCCAGTGCCTTTACAGTGGCTTGACATTAAAATTAAAACAAACAATGCAGACCCTGGTCGCAGGGGACACTATGCAATGGTAGATATGAGAATAAGCCTGTATTTATATAGGCGTATACACTGTTTCATAATGTATTCTGAATCTGGTATTCATCAGCTATTACGGTTTACCTGTTTAATTTTAAGTTTAATTTTTTTCCTTCGATTAAATACTTTTAAAACATAAAAGGTTTCAATAAATTTCTGAAGGAAAGTAGTCTGAATACATTATAGGGCCTTTGCTGTAATATTCATTGACGTTTTGCGAAAAAGCTTGAAAAGCTGAATTAACCTTCAAATTAGATTTATTCAAGTTAAAATGCTATAATTCTACTTTTGAAAAGCTCTCCAAAGTTAATTCTTTTGAAACAATAGAAATGTGTTCCGGCCGAGTGTAAAGCCTACTTATCGTTTGATTGAAAGCGTAAGTAGATATTGTTTTGCACGTGTTTTCTTCCACTGAATTAGAGAGAGAGAGAGAGAGAGAGAGAGAGAGAGAGAGAGAGAGAGAGAGAGAGAGAGAGAGAGAGAGAGAGAGAGAGAGAGAGAGAGAGAGAGAGAGAGAGAGAGAGCTGAAATATGTCTCGCTTGCTCTTGATACACATTTGTTACGTTTAAATGACTTTGTCCTTCCTTGACGGACATAGTGAGGGCACAGTATCCCCCACATGTGTTATGACTCGTGCCAAAAAAGATGTTAACACAAGAACTTCGTGACCAATATTTATAAATCATTTTGGCCTAACACAAGGGCTGGGTGAGAATAGGGGTACATATATCTGAACGGTATATCTTTCTTAATTCTGAAGTTCAAATATTTGGGACTAATGAAAATAAAGAGGATATTTTAACCTAAAACTACATCAATATTTTCAAGTCACATTGGGGTCAGAGATATAATAGAAGCGCATTTATGTAAAAGGGCAGACCTTTCCAACTCGAGAGTTCAGGTAGGAATTTTGGATCTATGACCACAGTGCAAACTATAAACCGAATACATGATCCTTTCTTTCACCAAAGCTAACGCAGGCGAGACAAATTGTTCAGTGCTATGTGATATTCCCTGTCATTCTTCCAACCATTTAGTAAAATATCTATGATGAAAATAACCATCACAATTTGCCACAAAAGCGACGCGACTTTAAATGCCAAATGGAAGAGTAATTTTTAACTTTTGTTACATACTGATTTCAATCAGACATAACTTATTTGTATACCTAAGCGCTCTTTGTGTGTAAACAAAAAAGCTATTATCAATAATATATTATTCAAGAATGAAATGCATGAACTCTAAAAGGAGCTATTTGAACTTCATTTGGTGCATACGAGTGTATATATATATATATATATATATATATATATATATATATATATATATATATATATATATATATATATATATATATATATATATATATATATATATATATATAGTGGCCTAGTGGTTAGTGCATCCGCCTCAGATGCGGGAGGTCGTGTGTTCGATCCCTGTTCGAGTCATGCTAAAGACTTGCAAAAAAATGGTACTAACAGCTGCCTCGCTTTACGCTCAGCATTAAGAGTTTAGTGTTTGGACTGGTCGGCCTGGTGTCAGGATAATGTGACTGGGTGGGACATCATGCTACATGTCTGCTGCATGATGCCCCAGTGCTAGACATCACTATAAACTGCCACACTGCAGACATCGTAGCGATATGACTGAAAAATTGTTAAAGCTACGTTAAAAAATTATAAACACACAACACACATATATATATATATATATATATATATATATATATATATATATATATATATATATATATATATATATATATATATATATAAAGTCGGTGTACTGTACATAAAAAGTATACATTTCTGTGCATATTGTACATATATGTGTACATGTCTGTGTATACTATACATGTTTGTTTGTACTGTATATATGTGTGTGTGTACATGTCTGTATATTACATATATATATATATATATATATATATATATATATATATATATATATATATATATATATATATATATATATATATATATATACATGTATGTTTATAATGTACATATATATATATACATGTATGTTTATAATGTACATATATATATATATATATATGTACATGTATGTTTATAATGTACATATATATATATATATATATATATATATATATATATATATATATATATATATATATATATATATATATATATATATATATATATATATATATATATATATATGCACATGTCTTTGTTTACTGTACATATATGTGTACCTGTCTGTTTATACTATGCTCACAGGGCCGGATTTACCATTGTACATAGGTGTGCTTAAGCACAGGACCACTATTGGCCAATCGGCCCAACTTCTTGGCAAAAAAAAAATGATGAGTTTTCAAAAGTCTGTGGATATATTAGCACAGGGCCTCATTTGTCCTAAATCCGGCACTGTGTGCACATATGTATGTCTTTGTATATTGTACATGAATCATATGTATACATGAAAATATTAATGTTAAGGTTAAACTTATTATATTTTCTGTTATGGACGTGAGAAAAAGATAAATAATCTATCTTGATTAACTCTATACCAGGAGGTCTAATTAATAAGGATAACATAATCCATTTAACCTGTTACCTCGCTTTCGTATTGCGTTTTGGCAAAAAAAAATTTAGTGATTTTTTTTAATTGATTTTTTTCAATTGCTTTTCTTTTCACACATTTATGATAAATTGTTTTCATCTGACTTCACATTTCTCCTACACCTCACATTTATCTGACTTTATTTTTATCTGGCATCTCACTTTTTATCTGATTTCATATGTTTCTGACACCTCACGTGTTTTCATTGTAAATTAGCATAAATTTACAGATATAGACAGTGGTTGATGGCAATGACCTTGACCAAGTTGCAATGCAAATTTTACTTCGAAATGTGTTACTTGCTTTGTCGCTTTATTCAGGCTCTTATTAAAATAAAATGCTAATAAGTATAAAAATGAGCGATAATTAAGTACTACACTCTATATGGTTACACTGAAGCTGCAACGATATTCGCTATCTACGTCAAAAGACTTCTTATTTTTTTTTTTTGCTTCCAGGATTGTCAAAAACTGATTTGAACAAATTGCTAATACTTTGAACTTTGTAAGTGTGCAGTAAAAATTATCTAGTATAAAAGTAAAATGGAATTCTGACTTCTCTTTATTTTTGACCCCATGATAAATATTAGCTGATTATATATCATATTGAATTACGTGAATTATCATTGCTGGCGGATTCATTGACAACATTACGTTGAATCCGATGTATCTCAGGCGGATGTAAAATACAGATTTGTAGATATTCAAAAATTTAGATTCTACCCATTAGCTGATATAGGAATGTATGACAATTAGCAATTTGTACTTAAAATTACTCTTTCTACTGACTGTTTAATTACATGCATTCATACATACATACATACATACATACATACATACATACATACATACATACATACATACATACATACATACATACATACATACATACATACATACATACATACATACATACGCAAGGATACAGGTTTGTGCACTATTACAACACTTTGGTCTTGAAATAAGTAATAGAAAAGAGTGAGAAGCAATAAGTTTATAAATTGAACAAATTATATATTTCCTTATCATACAAAGTGAAAATGTAAAATGAAATTACGGTGTTGCGAATAAAAGCCCAAATAATCCTAGAATTACTAATAAAAGTCATAATGAATAAAAATCTGAATAAACGTTAGTGGAATTCCAAAACATTTCCACCCTGAAGATGTTGATGTTCCTATAATAGCTGGTAGTCTCTGATGTACTAAAGGACTGAATTGAAATGATGTGCCAACATTCTTTTGTTTAATCACAGTAATATAAGCCAAGGTTTACTTGTTTGAATTCACCACAATTACCAGTTAATGTAAATTTCTAAGAATGTCAATGAGCACTTTGAAGAAGAATGTTATATTTATTCAAATACTTTCAGTCAAAATCAAGCACTGAACATAATAAATGTGCTGAATAAAATGGTACATTACCATTTAATTTAGTCATGAAAATAAAATAATTATGCTTATTTTGTTCTAGCTTACATAATTTGCCAAGAGGCATGGTTGAGTGAGTAGTTACCTTCTTTATGGGGTAATTAGAAGTCTTAGAATATAGAAACAAAGTCAACTTAAATTGAAAACTGTTGCACGAAATAAAAGAAATATATAGTGAAATTGTTTCTTTTCATTTTATTGCAATAAGATTAAAAAAAATAAATGATGACAAAGCACATTTGCTTTTTTCGTATTAAACAATAAGTTCATATTTTACCCTTTGACCTTTGACCTTATAAACCTCATATGTCCCATCCCTTTTCAAACTGTACATTTTATTGCTGATATCTCAGGAACAAATATAGTTAGTTTCATGTTCCTGTCTTCCAACATAACACTGGTTGCTATGTTGACAAAATGCAACGCTCATTTTTAAAAAAGCTCACTTTTTATCCTAAAAGGGAGGGGCTGAACCTGTTTGAAAATCTGACTCTAATAAATGCTGTTCTGAGGCGGTAAATACAGGACAATTATTCCAAAGGACTGCTTTGATGCTTGCGACTTAAATATTTCAGCTATACAATCAAAATTAAATCATACAATAATAATACCTATATACTCATTATGGTGGCTTTCACCAGTTATGTACTTTTGAAAGAGTGATATATGTAAGGTGAAGTGGTTTGCATTTTAAACATGCACCGTGGAGAGAATGTGTGCATACCTGTATGATACTTTCATGTAATGTAGCTGAAATTTCTTTGGATATTGTACTATTGGAAATTTTAAATGATCTTAGCACACTGCTAACTAAAATGACTGCTTCCTTGTGGTCTAAAAATCAACCTGAATTTGTCTAAAGTACTCTATCCTTGGCAGCTATTAAAATAGGGAAAATTAATTTTGCCAAATTAGACAATAACAGCTTCTAAAAGTGCTATGAAACAATTACCAAATACATAAAATATAAAAAATGTTATCGGCTCTTTTTTACAATTTACTTCTGAAGTTCGGGAAGTGAAAATGAGCAAGTAGAGCTAGCACTTTTTTGAAAGATGCACATTTGGAGTAAGACCAAGCTGTATACTCTAACACATATTACACCCATCAATCATATACCAAAATTAAGGGAATTAAAGGTTCTTTGAACCATACCTAAGATATACAGTCTTATTTTTTTAAATAGCCAGTATAGCTAGTGAGGTAAGTCGGGAAAATTCTTTTTCTTTAAAATTTTAACCATATGCTAAATATGAAACTGTAGAGCGGCACCTAACAAGTCACATCGCATGCTTTAAAGTATCATCTATTATTACGTCATTGTTAATTCATTATGTTTACTAACGCGGTTTTCGCGATATATGCATTGGTTAAACATACGAATAGTCTGTATCACTTTTAATGATCTCCGCTCCAAAACAGAATTAAGAACTAATGTAGTTTATGTAATATACTGTAAACACAGTAATACAGGTAAGCTTGTGTTATGATTACACTGAATAATACATACCTGTTTAAGATTAAGGAACAAACTCGTAGTTTGAGATCCGTGACCCTAGGTATTCAAAAATTGTGCAATACATTCCCTACCTAAACACATGTTGTCCTCTAAATGTAACCCAGATATTAGTGTGCATTCCAAAGTTAGATTTCAGGCGTTCCCTACAGTGAGAATGAATTTCAGAAATGTTAAGTTCTAGCACCCAAAATTGCAAAATACTTCACTCACACTACAGTTGAAACAGAGCCATAATTTGCACAATATTAATATTGTCTTTATTAAGTTGTAAACATATATGTGATACACCTTATTATAAACTCATAAATCAAACATAATTTTTAATTTCATATATATATATATATATATATATATATATATATATATATATATATATATATTACAATTTTTGAGCAAGTATAAACATGTGTCATTTCGTATGTAGATTATATAAAATACGATATAATAAGAAATAAACACAAAAAGATTGTATAGAAACACGAGATAGAGATTCCTGCAAACAATTGTCATAATTGTTTCCAGCTATTTTATAGAGCATGGCAATAACCATTCAAGCGATAAAGTTTCAACATTGTTAATATTTACTTAAAATTGCTGCTTCGGTGCTCGCATCAAAACGGGCGCTTAATAAGGGATCAACATGAAATTTCATTCAGATATATGATGCTTATACCTACTTCCTTTGCACACTGCCGTATTTAACAGAGTACAACGATGAAAAGGAAGGAAAATTATTCAATGCACACAGGGGCAAAGGTATTCAAAATCTAATTTCCAATTCACCTATCCTGACAGGAATGCCGCTACCAATAGACTGATGAAAAGCTCTCTAATTAAGCCAGTTGTACAAAAAAAAGTTTTAATAAATCACTTAAGTTAAAGATGATAAACAAGACAAAAAAATAGTGTACAAA